TCCCCCACTTGCTTGGCCTCCACGGCCGCCGTGTACTCCCGGCTGAAGCTCAGCTCTGTGATGGCCACGTCGTCGAGAATCAGGCTGAAGTCTTTGGCCCGTTCTGTCAGCTCCCGCCGGATAAGCAAAGACACCTGCAGCAACAGGGCCACCAGACCTGCATCACTTTCAGTGCTCACTGGCAGTGCCAGGTTAGCCACCCCGTCCAGCTTGCAGCCAGTGACAAAATCATGACCTCTAAGGAGCTCAGAAAGTACAGTCAATGCTTGATAACTGAAACCATCAAGATACAGGGTAGCATGCAAAGTCACCTGCAGACCTCTGGCATTTGAAATCGCGCCACTCTCCAAGATGTAAAGACAGATGGACTCACATTCTAGCTGTATCTGAAGAAGCGAGCAGTGACTCACAAAAGCTCATACCCTGCCACAAGTGTTGTTAAGGTGCTAGTGTACTCTTGCTTAGAGATTAGCTTTTAGGACTACATAAGAGTATAATGGAGCCAAATAACAGCCAAATAGTATTCGGGAATCTCTATTTGGCTACCAAATAGATGCTCTGATTTGGTATTCGTCTTAATAAATACCCAAAAAATGCTGAAAAGGCATTATTTGGGTATTTATTTGGCTGAGTAAATGACGAATGCACATCCCTGCTCTTGCTTTTTTTCTACTGCTGCAGACATTGTGACCATCACCACCTGATGTCACTCAGTCTTCCATGAGAAATCCATTAATCCCACTTGGGGGAGAAGGGAACACACCTGAGCTCGCTGGGTGATAAGCTGCGAGGCGTTGAACTTCGCCACCACGCTTTTGAGCACTTCATTGACGATGGAAGGTAGGACTCTTTCTTCGTAGTCGAGACCAAGGCGCTGGTACAAGGTGGGCAACTCCGCGGCGTTGGGGCGTGACAGAACACGCAAGGTGATGTTCACCATCTGCAGATCTAGAGTCAGAAAACCCTCAGCTGCAGACCTAGAAGCCAACCCCTCTCCCCCCCTCCTGTGCTGTACAGGGCCTCGCAGGCAGGCTTCTCGGCCTTCCAGCCTCAGAACCATGGAAGTGTTCTGCGAGGGGAGGACAGAGAGAAGCAGAAGGTTTGTTACTGTGCCCTCACCTTTGGAACCTGTTGGTGAGGAGATTTTGCGGGGCCGAGCTCGGACATCGTAGATTACTGGGTACTGAAACCATGGAATTCTGAGGTAGAAAACGAAACAACAAATTATGCCGAATATGAGAATCGCCCACCCCCATCACAGAGAAATACAAGTACTGACTTCTCTTACTCGGTACAGATCAAAAACATGCCGTACTGCCTGACCAAGCTTTGTATTTTCTGTGCAAACTTTGATAGCATTACAGACAGTTACAACCCTTAATTCCTAATACAGTAAAAAAACAGTACCAAATGCTGTCAAAGACTTTCTTGGCTGGAGTTCATTAGTTGCTGTAGATTTTCCGGGTTGTGTGGCCGTGCTCTTGGCATTGTAGAACCTGACGTTTTGCCAGTAACTGTGACTGGCATCCTCAGAGGTATAACACAGACAGATGGAGTACTCTCTGTGTTAAGGTGAGAAGAAAAATGGCAGGCAGGTTAATTTATATCTACTCAAGAAGGTGGGGTACGGCTGAGTCATTATCTTGTAGGAGTTTCCCAGGCTGTGTAATTATCTTGTAAGAGCTTTCCTGAGGAGGCTCTTTTGCATATGGATTGGTTGTTGAAATTCTAATCTTATCTGTAGTGCTATTGTAAGATATAGAGCATTTTGTGTTTTTCAGGACAGGAAACCATGTCCTATTTATTTTTAAACTCTCTTCTTTCCTGTTGAAATTGTGTTTATGTTTATGAATTTCAATGGCTTCCCTGTGTAACCTGACATGGTAATTGGATGTGTTGTCCAGCCTTTCAGTGTCTTGGAATAAGATACTGTGTCCTGTTTGAGTACTGAATAACTTTTGGTGTTTCAGGGCTCCCTTTCTGATAAACAGTTCTCTACAGAAGTTTTCAGAACACAGCTGTCAACAGAATGATACATGACAAGAGATCTCTGCTAAATGAATAGAAAAAAAATCTTGGCACTTTGCAATAACTTCCAAATAAAAAAAATCAAGGTTGCTTGTTTTCTTAAAAAAGGAAATATCTGCTGGAATAATGTTGGGATGGGGATGGAAGGAGCTCCTTTCCAGGCACCTGAAATGCAGTCCCTCAGAAAGAATGGTGTGCTGCTGAACTCCTCCGATGCGATTGAAGAATATTGCTCTCTGACCACCATCCACTATGGAAAGGAGACAAAACGTAGTTGGGGTTATCGCTCAGTGAGGTCCAGGAGTAGGAGAGGTGAACAGAAATGGTTGAGAATCGAGACTCACCAGTGAAGACGGATTCCCGGACACCGTAGGCTGCCACTCCAGCACCTAACAGCAACTTCAAGGCTGTGCCCATTCCACGAGGGCCAGCAGGCAACCGTCCAGCAAAGTCCTTCAAGCTCTGAGCCATGGCAACCTTGATGTGGAGACAGGGGCACAGAATGAGCACCCAAAGTCCTACAACCCCATTTAGTTCTGCCCCTTTCCTTACTTGAGCTCATAAACACGCAACCGGGATTGCCAACTAGATCTTTTGTTCTCCTGTTGCCAAAGGAGGAGAGAAAAAAGGTCGGGGGGCGGGGGGTTGGTTGGTGGGAGTAGGGCGTTGCCGTTAACAAACATGCTTGAAAAATTCTTTTGGTGCAATTTCTCAGTGCCTTTCAGAATTACAATAGGAACAGAGAGTTGAATACAATGCACTTTTAGGTACTAGTTTGTAAAAACCACATTACATTTTAAAGCAATGTATAAACCAAGTCCCTGCAAGCAAAGGCATTTAGAATTTTGCCTTTCAGAATTACAAGAATAGGAAGGGAGAGTTGAATACAATGCACTTTTAGGTACTGGTTTGTAAACACCACATTACATTTTAAAACAACGTATAAACCAAGTCCCTGCAAGCAAAGGCATTTAGCACATGCTCAGAAACATGGAGGAGCAAACACTATCTAATAATAGATGGGACATAATTTTTGCTTTGAGATTTTACTAGGGTTTCCACCTCTGAGTTGGGAAACACCTGGAGATTGTGGGGGTGGAGGGTGGGGTTTGGAGAGGGGAGGGACCTCAGCAGGGTCCTCCAAAGCACACAGTTGCTCCAGGGGAACTGGCCTTGGACGTCTGGAGATTAACTGCAATAGTGGGAGACCTCCAGGTGCCACCTGGAGAGTGGTAACCCTGGATTTTACTTGGGATCAACGCAAGCCTACCAAGAATCTCTGTCCCTTGGGGGAAAGCAGGGTGCACGCGCTCAGAAGCCATGCAGTACCGGGGGCGGCGGGGAAGGATGTTTAGGGCTGTTTCCTTCCGTGAGTCAAGTCAACCTCTGAACATCCTCCAGGCCCCCTGAATTTCCCCCCAGATCTTGTCCCTTGGGGGAAAGCACGGTGCACGCGCTCAGAAGCCATGCAGTACTGGGGGCGGCGGGGAAGGATGTTTAGGACCGTTTCCTTCCGTGAGTCAAGTCAACCTCTGAACATCCTCCAGGCCCCCTGAATTTTCCCCCAGATCCACAGGCAGGAACCCGCTTCTGCCTTCAACCGCTACTTGGCCACGCCAGACTTGGGAGACGCACGTTTACTCCCAAGGAGTAGCACACCTTAAAAATGATATTATAGCTTTTGGAAAAAGTGCAGAAAAGGGCAACTCGAATGATAAAACGGTTGGAACCCTATGAGGAAAGGTTAAAGGGCTTGGGGCTCTTTAGCTTGGAGAAACGACGACTGAGGGGTGACATGATTGAGGTTTATAAGATTATGCATGGGAAAGAGCAGGTAGAAATTGCTGAGCGGTCGGGTTAGAACGGATAAAAGGAAGTACTTCTTCACCCAAAGAGTGATGAACACTTGGAATTCACTGCCACAGGAAGTGGTGGTGGCTACAAGCATGGACGGCTTCAAAAGGGAATTAGATAAGCATATGGAGCAGAGGTCCATCAGTGGCTATTAGCCACAAGGTATAGATAGGGGCTCTGGGGCAAGGGATGCTCTGTCTTCTTGGTGCTTGGGGCAGTGTTCCCTCTAAGCTGAGTTAGTGTGAGCTAGCTCACAGTTTTTTAGCCACCGGCTCACAGATTTTTCTCTTAGCTCAGGAAGGATGGCTCCAGAGCAAACTAATTTATGCAGTAGCCGAATGGCTTGCTCACAACTTTAATGCCAGTAGCTCACAAAGTAGAATATTTGCTCACAAGACTCCATAGCTTAGAGGGAACATTGCTTGGGGGGGGGTCAACAGTGGGAGGGCTTCTAATGTCCTGGCCCCACTGGTGGACCGCCTGATGGCCCCTGGTATTTCTGGCCACTGTGTGACACAGAGTGTTGGACTGGATGGGTGGGCCTTTAGCCCGATCCAACACTGGCGTCTCTTACGTTCTTAACAGTTAAATGAGGCCTCGTTGTTCCCGGCGTCCAACCGGAAGTGCTTAAAAGGCCTTCCGTGAACAATGCTCTGAGTTCTTACCACAGAGACGCTAAAGCCTAGAGTGACACGTAAAAACAACAACGGAGTCGCAAGTTTATTTCAATTCTGTATATGCGATCGATGGGATGTGGTGGTCTTTTTTATCTCTGAGGTTTCCATTTAAAATTTATATGTTCCGCGACGCTGAGGGGGAAGGGAAACATGGAACCGGAAGTAGACGTATGTTGCGCGCACACCTCCCGCAGGGAAAGCGCGTGTCTGAGGGAAAGCGTGAGGCGGGTTGCCCGGTTTCAGGATGGCGGCCTCCGCGAGGAAGCGGCCGAGAGTGACCAAGGAAGCAGCCGCAGAGTCCGAAGGCGGGCTGGACCCTCGTCGCGCGGGGAAGCGGCGACTGGTGGTGATCCTGGAGGGGGCGTCGCTGGAGACGGTGAAGGTGCGGTGAGAGGAAAAGCGGAGAGGAGGCTGGGCAGACCCTCTCCCGCCCCGAGGCTGCGGCGATGGCAGCTTTCAGAAATATGGCATTGCAGGGGGAAGGGTCCCCTTGCACGGGGTTGCCAGCCTCCCCGTGGAGGCTGGAGATCTCCCGCTATTACAGCTGATCTCCACTCCAGGCGATAGGGAAGAAATGGCTGCATTGGAAGGTGGGCTCTCTGGCATTATAGCCCTCAGGTCTTTTACTCCCCAGGCTCCACCCTCAAAATCTCCTAGGTGTTTCTCGACTGGGAGCTGGCAGCTGTAGTGCCCTTGCAGGAAAACACCCTTGCATACATCGCAGAGATGGGAAATGTACAATGGAGGTCGACCAAGATGATTGGGGGCTGGAGCGCCGTTCCTACGAGACGACTAAGGGGGGACATGAGAGAGGTTTATTAAATTAAGCATGGGGTGGAGGGAGTTGACAAAGAGAGCTTTCTCTGACTCTCCTAAAATACTGGAAATTAAGGGCATCCAATGAAGCTGATGGGCAGTAGGTTCAGGAGGAGACAAAGGGAAATACTACTTTACACAGAGTGATTAAAACATGGAATTTCCTGCCAGATGATGTAGTGATGGCCGCAGGAACAGACAGCTTTAAAAGTGGATTCGATTGATTCATGGAGGATAAATCTATCGATGGCTACTAGCCATGGTGACTGAGTGGAACCTGCTCATACAGAGGGACCAAACCTCTGAATTCCAAAGCCAGGAGGCAACATCAGGGGAAGGCCTTTGCCTCCTATGCCCTGTTGTTGGCCCTCCAGAGGAACGGGTTGGCCACTGTGTGAGACAGGATGTTGGACTAGATGGACCACTGGTCTGATCCAGCAGGGCTCTTTTTATGTTCTTATAAGACAAGAAGGAAAAGCCCTCGTGCCTCAGGACAGAAAGTACTAGCCCTCCTGGTGTGCCTCGGTTTTGGTCTTCTTGGAAAGAGCCTTTTTTTTTGGTAAGGGAGCATTTGCAAAGGTACATGCATTGTATAAAGCGGTATAGGTAAAGTGCATCTTTAGGACTCTACCCTTTTTCTTCTGCTGCGGGTGCATAGACCAAACCCTTCTGAAGGCAGTTTGAAAGATCTGTACAGATTCAAGGAGAAGGTTGATAGGTCGTTTGATAGCTCATAGTCAGGACAGCTATGCAGAACCTCCGCGGTGCATTTTAGCCCACATTTCTTTTAAGCAACACAGGCTGTTGAACGTGGTGTCCCTCTTCTTGTTTACACAGTGTTGTGAGGCTGAGAAGAATGAGCATACTGGCGATTTGAACTTGGGTCTCCCAGCTCCTGGGGCCCTGCACAGTTGTCTCTTGAGTCAGAGGAGAAGCCAGTCATAAGAACATAAGAGAAGCCAATGCTGGATCAGGCCAATGGCCCATCTAGTCCAACACTCTGTCACACAGTGGCCAAAAATACCAGGTGCC